GGGAAAGAAAAAAAAAAGAAAAAAGTGCAAATGTGATTGTCTCGAGTTAGAAGTACAGAAGATGGCACCGACGAGTGTCTTTTACTCTCTCCCCCTCTCTCTCCTCTCTTTCTGTGTCTTCCCTTCGCTCTCTTCCCCCCCTTTGTCGTTGCTGCAGCGGAATGACAGCACGCGTGGGTCGCCTGGAAACGCGCAGAGGATATCGCTTTCGGTCCCAAGAAAAAAACAAAAATAAACTCCTAGTCCAATGTGCCCTACGGTGATTGTGAAGAACGGGAGCAATAACTCCTCTGAGTATCCGAAGGGCGCATCGGCGTGTCCCTGAACCCTGTGAAAGAATCCCATGTGTCTAGAGCAATGACGCAAGAGACATCTTGCCCTGGCTTTTGAAGCTCAGTATCCCATTTCGTGGTTATCCGCTTAGAAGAATAGGCGGAGCAGCTCGAAGATAACACCGCCGCACAGGACGAAGGCGAGAAGGACTGTGGTGAGAGAAACAAATTAGTCTTTGGGCTCCTCAAGCAACAGCAATAAGACGCTCTACACCGCATCCGGCGCAGTATAGAAAGCGTACTCGTCCTCCACCATACGTGTTCAGTTCGGACATAGCGCCGGACATAACGCTCAAGGAACAGGCGCCAAAAGGAGCATCCCTGAGAAGCTGGGAAATGTTGAATGGAAACGTACTTATCCAGGTCTTGCTTATGGGGCTCTTGTGGACCTCCTGCTTCTTGACGACCGTGACGGGCTTGCCGCGCTTGTTGGCTTCCGACTTGGCGAAGCGCTCGTTGGCGAGGCGCTGCTGGGGGGTTTGGGCCTGTGACGTTGGGTGCCAGTTAGCACAATGGAGCTTTAGGGGCGCATGAGAGAGGCGGGTGCAATTGGCAGGTTGGGTGAAGTGATGGGGGCTCTTTGGGGGTAGCGGGGGGTGCGGCGGGCGTGTGTCTGTACCATTTTGTGGAGGTGGTGAATACGGAGGCGCGGGGAGTAGTAAAAGGGACGGCGAGCGAAGGAAGCGTGGAAGTGGCGTCGCTACAAGGGTCGAGGGTTGTCCTGGCGTCGTCGAGGTTGGCGGATATTCCAAGAGGGCAGGTAGAAGGGATGATCGGTTGCGGAGGAGAGCTTGAGGTCGCGCTTCTCTCCGCCCGCTCGCGCATTTTATGACCCTCGGCCAGAGACCACGTTTCCACTGCCGCGACGACCACACCACCCTCCAATCTAGGCAAAAAGAGTCACAGGTCTATATCCAGCTGCCTAGTCCGGCCTTCCACCATGTTCTCCTCCTCGGCGCGCTCCAGTGCCCGGTTGGCCGCGATGCACTTGCGCCGTCCCGCCTGCGGAGCTGCCTCGAGATACTCGTCGTACCAGCCGCCCAACCACCGCCCAGCCAAGCCTGAGAGCGGCGCGTCATCCAATGCCCATGTAAGCCCTTTGCCATTGCCTCCTCGGTTCCCAATGCGCGCTCTCCCCGCTGCTGCCGTATTGTCGTTGCCGTTGTCGTTGTCGGTCCTCGCAGAGACAGAACTTCGCAAACTAACCATGCTCCGGTCCTCAGCGCGCCTTCTACGGCGACTTCGGCCTCCCCGTCCTCAAGGTGTTCTTTGGCGCCCTCGCCACCTACCAGGTGCTGTACTGGGGGTGGCTGAAGCTGGAGAGCATCGAGCTCAAGGACGAAAAGAACGGCGAGATGGCGCGGCTGGAGCAGCAGGTGCGGGAGCTGGCGGGCAGTAATAAGGGCAGCAAGTAGCTACGCCGGGACCGGTCAATGGCCTAGAGCGGATTGCATTCATGAGCTCTGGCAATGGCAAACAAGAAAAAAGACAAAAGGCGTTTGGATAGAGAGAGGGGTTGCCGTCGGTGGCGTTGTTGCGCAGCTCGTCCTTCGTGATGCGGCTCCCCGCCACCGCCATCACTACCACCACCATCAACCACCGCCGCTCTGCGCCGCATAAGAAAGAAAAAGCCTCACGGCCTCACAATCGCCCCCAATATGAGGACGGCGGCGCAGTTGCATATATCATCGGCCCGCATCGACAGACATTCGCACCTTGACCGGCGAACCGTGTAACTGGCCAGCTTGAGATCCGGCCGGCCCGACTGAGATGAGGCCATGGTCTGATGTCGTGTGCAATACAGCGGGCCGGGCTCCAACATCTCAAACCACGCCTCAGAGCGTACACTGGGCCCAATTACCTTTCGAGGCCAGGCCCCGGGCTGAGAATAGCAGGATGATCTGCGCGGTAGCATGGATGGATGCTTCGAGCCTTATCGGAGGGCTAGGACCATGCCGTTTTTTCACGCAAGCAACTTAACAGTAAGATACAAAGATGCAAAGATACGAAGATACGGAATGTTTCGGAACGGCGTCAGGATGCTTGTATATTACACGCCTAGCTCCTTCTATCATGCTAAAGTGACCTGCCGTGCTATGGACCGCAGCATTCTCCATGAACGCCTCCGCAGTACCAGAATCGTGACGCAACCGCATTCTCCTGTACGGGGGATTGTGAGATTACAACTTGGCATAATCAATCTTGCCCTCGAGCTTCTTCGTCTCCGCCATCTTGCGCACCGCCTTGTTGAAGTCGTCTTGACTGATAGCGTCGCGGTAGTCCTTGATCGCGAAGAGACCACTAGAAAACAAATCGTTAGCCGCTGGAAACCTAGGTAGAAGAGATAAAAAAAAGTTGCTTACGCTTCGGTGACGACGTTCCGCAAGTCGGCGCCGTTAAACCCATCACTCATCTTGACAACACTTTCGAAATCAATCTCTCCCTCCGTCACCACGCTTGCGGCGTGGATCTTGAGGACCTCCAATCTGCCTGCCTCGTTCGGCAGCGCAATCTCGATCTTCCTGTCCAAACGACCTGCACGCAGTAGCGCAGGATCCAGAGTGTCGGGCCGGTTGGTGGCCATGATGATCTTGGTTTTTCCAAGGTAGTCGAAACCGTCCAGCTGGTTAAGCAGCTCCATCAGCGTACGCTGGATTTCACGATCTGCCGATGTACCCTCCGAGAACCTGCGACCGCCGATGGCATCGATTTCGTCCATGAAAATGATACAGGGTTCGTGTTCTTTTGCGTAGCCGAACATTTCGCGAATAAGGCGGGCGGATTCACCGATGTACTTGTCCACAATGGCAGATGCGACGACTGAGTAATGTGAATGTGAGCTTGATATTCGAGCAGGGAGACGTGCAGACTAAACTCACCCTTTAGGAAGTTCGTCTCCAAACTGCTTGCTACGGCACGAGCCAAGAGCGTCTTTCCAGTTCCCGGCGGTCCGTACAGCAAGACACCCTTTGGCGGCTTGATGCCTACACGCATGAAGAGCTCCGGGTTCTTCAGAGGCAGCTCGATGACCTCACGAAGTTCTCTGATCTGTTCATTCAAACCACCAATACCGCCAAAGTTGATCTGGCCAGGGTCCTCCAGCGACATGTTGTAGACAAGAGGGTCGACTTCTCGGGGAAGCATGCGCATAATCGTAAGCGTGGTCATGTCTAGCGCGACACGAGTTCCTTGCCTCAGCTTCGCCTTGTCGACCTTGGACCGGCAGCCGACGACATAACGGGGACCAGAGGATGCCTTGACGATGAATCTTTCTTCGTCCAGCTGCTTCAGCACCTCTCCTATTATCTGGCCGACGCTCTGCAGCGCCTTGATGTTGTCCTCAGACACGTCGTAGTCATGCTGAAGGCCCTTGATCTCCAGCCGCAGGGCCTTGAGCTTTGCCTCCCACTCTCTTGATTCCAGAAGCTTGCCCTTGTACTGCTCGAGCGCCTGATCGCGCTCGGGGTCGATGGTGCCGCTCATGTTGACGTCGGTCGGCGAGTGGCTAGGGATGTGGCAGGCGTGGCGGATCGGATCGGGGAGTTTCGAGGAGCAGCTTTACGGCGATCAGAGGAAGATGCGGCCAAGTCGCGGATGCAGACGGATGTGGGCGTTGAGATGAAGAGGGGCGAGAGAGCGAGGTTGCGATGATGATGAGCTGCTCTATCTGGAGTACCTACCTTAGCCACAAGCTCCAACAGCTTCACGGGCCCGGGCTTGGCAGTAGACTTAGTCAGGACGCGTTTGTTTAGTCACGTGCCGTCTTGTGACGAGCTGGCCATAGCTTCGGTGGCGTTGGCGGGGCTGCCCGTGTTTCTTTTCGTAAACTGACCCCGCCGCTATCTCTCAACGAATTTCTGACGCATTCATAAGTTCGGTCACCTCACTCTCTCCTTCTCATCCACTCCTGAATTTTCTTCGTCACTCGATAGAACATCCATCGTCAGTGTAAGTCACACTATCTCTTGCTTTACGTCCCAAACTAGTCGTGCGGCCGAAGCTGGCCTAAGGGAAGTGGGATGTGCACAAGGTTGCCCAACCGCGCATTAGCACGCATCGGACGTGCTACTTGCTTCGAGGGATGCAGAACCCTGAGAAGCAGCTGACATCACACCAAGGGTACCCACTGCATTGGCCCTTGGAGTGTCCAGCTTCACATTTAAATACCGCCCTGTCCCTCCCTCCTCAAGACTTTCTACTAACAAGATACCCATCACCTTCAGAAACAATGGCCATTACCAAGATCCACGCCCGCTCCGTCTACGACTCTCGCGGTAACCCTACCGTCGAGGTCGACATCGTCACCGAGACTGGCCTTCACCGTGCCATCGTCCCCTCCGGTGCCTCCACTGGTATGCCATCACCGGCCTACCTCGATCATCGAACTCTAGTTGACAATTACAACAGGCTCCCACGAGGCCTGCGAGCTCCGTGACGGCGACAAGTCCAAGTGGGGTGGCAAGGGTACGTCTATAGAGATCCCAGCTATACCCCGCCTAAAGTGAGGGGCAGACGTTAACAACATATCCAGGTGTCACCAAGGCCGTTGCCAACGTCAACGATATCATCGCTCCCGCTCTTCTGAAGGAGGGCCTTGATGTCAAGGACCAGTCCAAGGTTGACAAGTTCCTCATCGACCTCGATGGCACCCCCAACAAGACCAAGCTCGGTGCCAACGCCATCCTTGGTGTCTCCATGGCTGTTGCCAAGGCTGCCGCTGCTGAGAAGGGCGTTCCCCTCTACGCTCACATCTCCGACCTTGCCGGCACCAAGAAGCCCTACGTTCTTCCCGTTCCCTTCATGAACGTCCTGAACGGTGGTTCCCACGCCGGTGGCCGTCTGGCCTTCCAGGAGTTCATGATCGTTCCCAGGTAGCTTTACCCTTCATTTTCGGCGCGAATTATACGCTAACAGTACCTAGCGAGGCTCCTACCTTCACCGAGGCCATGCGCCAGGGTGCTGAGGTCTACCAGCAGCTGAAGAGCCTGGCCAAGAAGAAGTACGGCCAGTCTGCTGGCAACGTTGGTGACGAGGGTGGTGTCGCTCCCGATATCCAGACCCCCGAGGAGGCCCTTGACCTCATCACCGACGCCATCGAGAAGGCTGGCTACACCGGCCAGATCAAGATCGCCATGGACGTTGCTTCCTCCGAATTCTACAAGACCGAGGAGAAGAAGTACGACCTGGACTTCAAGAACCCCGATTCCGACAAGAGCAAGTGGCTCACCTACGAGCAGCTGGCCGACCTCTACAAGTCGCTGGCTCAGAAGTACCCCATCACGTCCATTGAGGACCCCTTCGCCGAGGACGACTGGGAGGCCTGGAGCTACTTCTTCAAGACCTCTGACTTCCAGATTGTTGGGTAAGTTGCGCTTAATTCTCCGCGAAATTTCTTGAGCTGACTTGGTACGCAGTGATGACTTGACTGTCACCAACCCCTCTTTCATCAAGAAGGCCATCGACCAGAAGGCCTGCAACGCCCTTCTTCTGAAGGTCAACCAGATCGGCACCATCACCGAGGCCACCCAGGCTGCCAAGGACGCCTTCTCCGCCGGCTGGGGTGTCATGGTTTCTCACCGTTCCGGTGAGACTGAGGATGTCACCATCGCTGACATCGTCGTCGGTCTCCGCGCCGGCCAGATCAAGACAGGTGCTCCTGCCCGTTCCGAGCGTCTGGCCAAGCTCAACCAGATCCTCCGTATCGAGGAGGAGCTCGGCAGCCAGGCCGTCTACGCCGGCAAGAACTTCCGCACCGCCGTCAACCTGTAAAGGTGAGGCGAAGCCGGTCTTGAATTTCCAGCGCCATTGTGAAGAGGGCGCATGATGCGACGAAAGTATACACATTTCCTTATTACGTAGCAACGGGGTTGTAAATCCCCAAAAAGGTAGAGCGAAGAAAAAGCCGATTCCTACAAAATGATGAACGCGCGTGCAATGCATGATGTGGCAAGAGAGTTGCCCGTGAAGATGATCGCCGGACGCCGGAGCGAGAGCGGGACCCGCCGAGCCCTACGGAATGCACGGGCGCCAACGAACAACATCATTCGAGGGCGACTCAGACGACGATCGTAAATCGCGCAGCCACTTCTCCGACCATCGGACAACCGGAGGCGACTGCATCAATGTGAGCAGTCTTGTTTCATTACGCTTGCAGTAAACAAATGCCCCGCCGCGCCTTGGCCCCTGTCGGAATGTCTCTTGTCTCATCGCTCTCGGAGCTGCCCAGGATGAGCCAAGACGGGACCCGTATGAATCCACCTCACCAAGCTTTCCTCGTGCTCGCCCGCAATCTTATATCCAATCCGACAACATCCAGTGTGTTGTGGCTGTTTTCTGCTCGTGTCCGCAAGCAATAGTATGGATGGCAAAAGCGGCGGGACAGTATTTTTGGTATCCCTTCATGAGCATGGCATACGGTTTTTTCAACCTTCTCTAGGTGTCTTCCTTATCCCCTGACTTCCCACGTGCTACTTTCTTCCATCCCGAATACTAGACCAGCATGAACCATTCGTCCGCAACCTCTCATACCAAAGGACTCCATGTATTCCTTGCTTGGCGGCAACTGGGTTTCACTGAATCCACGGGTCAGCCGCATTCCTGCGGCATGTTTAATTGTTCTCACTCGAGGTCCTATGCATCAGCCTGAGATGGATATACCAAGACAGCATTCCGGGTACAGGCGCATAGGCGTCAACAAACCGCAAATGGGACTTATAAGCTGTATCTCCATCTTCAATGGACCCCCATCACCGACTTTCGTTAACCCTCAGGCTTCGGAATCACTCGTTTAAAGCTCCGTCGTCCACCGTCACTCGTTTGCACTGGCATAGACGCCCTTCTCACTCTCGTTCACAGCGGTATCTTTCGTTTGTATTGCACTGTCTCTCACTTCTTCCTTGAGGATCATACCTCCACCCTAATAATACACACATAATCCTTTCACCTATCTCGCTGCCCTCCATGAAGGCAGCAGCACTCGCCACGGGGCTGGCGCTCGTCGCTGGCGTCTCATCCCAAGCTACGCCCAGCTACGTTACCGTCGTCACGTACAGACCATGCTCAGTCGTGACTGATACGATGCAGACGGTCGTGACGACGTGCCCGGATCCGTGCCCAGCAAAAACGGCGGCCACGCCAATGCACACGACCGTCTATGTCACCTCGTACGCTACTCTCTGCTCCACGGGTTGGGACCACAACACCTACACCGTCACCGAAACGTGCGGCGGCACCAAGCCTGCTTGTGGTGCTGCCCAGCCAACAGGCTACATCCCGCCGGGATTCACTACCACTGTCACCGTCTGCACTGCCTGCAACAAGGACAACACCCCCGTCACCGCTACCCTGACCGTCCCTGCCCCTGGCGGTAACGGAGGTGCCGGAGGCAACGGCGGACCTGGCGGAGCCGGAGGACCTGGTGGACCCGGTGGTAACGCAGGCCCTGGTGGTAGCACAGGCCCAGGCGGCAACGGAGGCCCCGGCGGCAATGGCGGTCCTGGAGGGCCCGGTGGCCCAGGCGGCCCTGGTGGTTCCTCAAGCCCTGGCGGTTCCTCAAGCCCCGGCGGCAACGGAGGTCCTGGAGGCAACGGGGGACCAGGCGGCCCCGGTGGTCCCGGCGGACCTGGCGGCAGCTCGGGATCCAGCGACCCCGCAGGGCCAGGCGGAAACGGCGGCGCAGGGGGCAACGGCGGGCCAGGCGGTCCCGGCGGAGCCTCGAGCCCAGGCGGCAACGGCGGCGCGGGCGGTAACGGTGGCCCTGGAGGACCTGGCGGCGCGGGCGGACCTGGTGGCAATGCCGCGCCGGCGTCTACAACGTCGCACCCCTTGATCGTGTGCCCGGGTCCGCAGTGCCCGCATACGACGACGCCGACTACAAGCGCCTCCCGTAGCACGACGAGTCTGGCCGTGCAGACGGCGAATGCGGGTTTGGAGGCGGCGAAGCCGCGGTGGTGGTTGGGCGGTGCCGGGGCGGCGGGGCTGTTGGCGCTGTTGTGAGGGGAGTTTTGATGTTGCGGGTGAGTTTGCTTGGTTCGTGATGCTGCTAGGACGATTTGCTAACGATTTGTGGTGGACACAGAGTCTCGGGGTTTGTGGGATTGTTGCTTCCGGTTGCCTTCACTCAGTGTTCGTCTGCGCAGACGGACTGCTTGGTTCTTCCCGATGGTTGCGCTGTTGCGCCCGTTTTTACTTTTTTTTTTTTTTTCCCAGCGTGGGTTCCACGTTGGTGCGCAGTGGGTGGTGGAGACGCGCCAGTTTGGCTTCAGTCTTCCCTCGCATCGGTGGGGCGTAATTGTAATTCTTTTTCATATCACCCTCATTGTCTTCATCACCTTCCCTTCCCTTCCCTTCCCTTCCCTTCCCTTCCTTCCTTTTATTTTCTCTTCTTCCACCCTTTTTACGGAGCACAATGCCTTTCGTTTCTCAGGCACTACTTCCTACGGCTTAATGGAGCTTGCATCGATGTACGAATAGAAAAGGCTATGTATGAATTTTAACAGCGCGTTGATTTTTATTTTTATTTTTTATTTTTATTTTTTTTTAAAAAAAAAGTATCTGCACAGCAAGTTCACGTGGTGCAATGCGGTGCGGAATGCACTGTGAAATGAAACAGCCAAGTGGTTCTTTGTCAGGCCGAGCTAATATTTGCAAGACAGTCTTATGAAATGACATCGAATACTAAAGAACACCCTCGACCTACAGCTAAGACAACAAGAAAAGTCGGCTCAAGATCTATAAAAATGCATTCTACACAAGATGAAAGAATCCTAACTCTAGCTACGAAAGATACATTTACGACTCCATATCAAGCAGCTCATGGAGCCCTGAATCGGCTACAATCAGCTTGGTCTCCTTTCTTTGTTTAGCACACTCACTCCGCAATGCACGACGTTATCCTGCTCCTTCCATGGCTTCTTTCCCGTTCCAGGCACGCACCAACGGTATTCTCCCTCATTCTCTTCTTAGAGAAAACGCTACACAATGTTTCTCTCCGATACACAGCCACCGCCATCGCTGCAGACAAAGCTATTATCCAGTGAATCGGCAACAAGCACGACAAACCTCGACAAAGAAGCCTCTTGTTCTTCCCATTATAGCATTCAGCTCAACAAAGCCCGTAGAGAAAACAATGCCGCTGTCACTGGACTATTAAACACTCGTGTTCCGCGCGGTGAAGAAGACGGATGAAATAATCAGACACAACACACACTCGGCCACTGAATCACACACATACGCAGTCGTTCTTTGCATACATACGCAAGAAAATAGCTAAGTGTTTTCTTTTGCACCCACGTACACGTACTTACCAGAAGACACCAGTAGCAGCAGTAGAAGCGCAGTGCAGGACACAGCGCAAGACGTACCCGTCTAGAGACCACCCACGATTAGAAATCCACGGCACCAGACGTATGTCCCCGATCCAAGCCGCCGCGATGAAGCAAACCCTCCGCTCCACCAGCAGCACTAACAGCAGCAGCAAGAACATCGTTGCTACGTCCAAGTCCTCAAAGCCCGACACCACGTCCAAAGGCTCCAGCTCTTCGCGCACTCGTTCCCCCACCCGCGCTCGCCGCCTCGAGGACCAGTCGTCCCATGCTGCGGCCACCCACGCCGCTCGCAATGCCTACACCAGCACGGCAGTGGAGGTTAAAGAGAGGGAGCACAGGGTGAGGGAGAAAGGTAGGAGCAAGGAAGGGGAGAGCCTGGGGAAGGGAACGATGCGGAAGGAGGCCCACCGTGCAGGAGAGAGCTTGTACGGCGAAGAGGCGCGCAAGAGATACGCGCAGAGGGAGAAGAGCAGCGACGTGTTCAAGGGCGAATTCAGAGAGGCCAAGGGCGACGTCGAGGTGTTGGTGAATGCGGCCAAGAACTGGGCGGCCAAGAAGCAGGGACACGAGGAGAGCAAGAAAAAGGAGGAGCTGAAGAGCACGATTTCCCGGCCCACGGTCGAAGTGCCGCAGAAGAAGAAGACGAGCTTCGATGTTCCGCGCACCGGCGGCATTCTTGGCCGCAGCCTCAGCAGAAAGGACAAAGACGGCAAGACGCCCACGACGGCCAAGTCCGCCATAGACAACTTCATGCGCCGGCTGCAGCCGGATCCGCGCCGTGACTCGGACGCCAGCTTCGGCTGCGTGGGCATCACGGACTCTCAAGTCGAGCTCGCGCAGCCCCTCTTACAGGCCGCTGCGGTGGAGCGCACGCTCGCGTCACAGGATTTCCGGCGGCCGATCACGCCGCCGGAGCTGAAGAGGGAGCTCTTTGGGCGGAAGAAGAAGCACGAGACGGTGGAGATGGCGAAGCCGTTGAATGTGCGCAAGGTTACCCCGGTTGCTGACGAGCAGATTGCGGCCAGAGCTGTTAGCAGGGGCGGTAAGAAGTACGACTCGGTCCTTTCCAACATGACCGGGCAGACGGATGTGTCGTCTCTCCGGGCGAGTTATGAGGCGCCACCCCCGCCTCCGCCAAAGGACTCGCGCTCGGTTGACAAGCACCGCAAGAACTTGAGGACTAGCGATTGGATCTAGGAGCGTGAGATGCAGGGCGTCTTGCGGGCCATGGTTCACGGCGCACAAAGGTAATGAGATCTAATGATAGAAGAATAGAGTGTGAATTAGAATTGAGAGAGAGGGAAGTGGAGTGGCAGTGCTATACATACCTACGACGATGATGATGATGATGATGATGGGCGGCGATGGTGTTGGGGCGTTAATCCCTGCACGCGTCGCGCGGGACAAGAAAAACTTAATGGAAAGGCATGGCGTCATGCGACATTGAATTAGGTGGCACGAATTGCGTGAGAGTGTCTGTAATCCGTAGCGGTGCCCAAGATAGAGTGGCAAGAGTATTATGAGCTGGCGAGGCGTGAGAGGGTGGTGGAAGAGGGCAAGCGCTGACGGACCAGGGTCTGTTGTGGCTGCAGCCAATCACGACGCGCATCACGCGTGTGCCTCCTGCGACCGTCGAGGCAGGCGCCAAGTTCGCGGCTTCCATTGGACCTCATGCAGCCGCTGGCAGGTACGACGACAAAGTCCGAGCGCGGCCTCGCTGCTGCTCTTCTTTGCCGCTCGCCCTGCATCATCTCATTCTCCCGTTTTCTCTCGTTGTGCTGTCTGCTGTCTGTTGTCTGTTGCCTGCCTTTCTTCCCGCTGCTCTCTCCCGTCGTTGCTGCCCGTCTTCAGCTGACGGCAACACAACCTCCCGCTTCCAGCTACCGTCTGAGGCTGGGTATGCATTATACTTCCAAAATCCAGACCAATGCTGATCTCCGCTGCAGGCCTCGACTCCGCCGTCTATTTCGGGACCTCAGCCACGTCCCGCCTATCACGGCGCATAGCACCCTGCTCTGCACCCTTCACTGGCGCCATCTTTTAGACGTCGTAAGTCCCGTCTCTCCACCTTGTGTGCCTCCGTTCCCACTCCTCCGCGCTTCGAAGCGCCCGCCCTTCCGCCAGCCAATCCGCGTCGTGCCCGACCAAGCGCTCGTCCAGACAAAAACCGCCCCTCCTCCATCCCGTCCCCGTCTGCATCTCTCCTTGTCGTTCTGTGCGTCGTCTTCACTCTCTGCTTTCCATAGCTCGCGCAAAGTCAAGCCGGTCTCGACTAAGCCGCTTGCGTCTCCTTGTGTCGTTGCTTTCGCGTCATCTTCCACTCTCTTCTGTTACGCATGAGCTCCTCACGTCATCTGCTCTGCGCCATTTGAAAGACATGTCAACCAACGAGCAAAAGACTCCCGCAGTGTCCATCACGGTCCGCCGCCCCTCGGTCGACTCTGTTGCGCCGTCCCTCAAGACTCCTCGAACCGCCCGCTTCGCCGAGGCCACGGCCGTATATTCGCCCATTGAACCCAACAAGGCCCCCTTTACCGAACTGTCTACGAATCACTACGCCCCGCAGCCTCAGCCTGCCGACGTCGGCTTTGGATATCTCAGCAACCGCGCCTCTGGCCACGAATCGTACGCAGGCGTCGAGATGGAGGACACCGACAGGAATTACCTGCCCCCGCCGACCCCGAGGTCCCCTATGAAGTCGCCCCTCAAGAGCGCCATGAAGTCGCCCGGAGCGCCTCCGCGTGACTTTGGCAATGTTCTGAGCCCTACCTTCCGTGAGGAGCAGGTTCTTGAGAAGGTCGAGGAAGACACGGACGTAGAGCAGGCCAAGGATTTGGTATGTGGTCCACTCTTTTCTTACGAGCATCCACTAACAACATGCAGAAAGTCAAGACTCGCGTACGCATAGCCAAGTTTATCCTGAGGGGTGTCAACTTCAGCTGCAGTCTTATCGTCCTTTCCATGCTGGCTTCGACCTTTGCTATCTTTAATGCTACCAAGAGCCTTCCGCCCCGCAACAACCTCCCTCCTTGGGCCGAGAACACCAAATCCTGGCCTCAGATCACCCTGCTCGTCATCGCATGCATATCGCTGTTCATGTCCATCGTTATCCTTCTCGCCTACTTTAGAGGTGGCCATCAACGTGCAGAAAGGGTGGCCGTCTACTACACCGTCTTCGCCGTCGCCTTCTTCATCTTCAGCATCGTCATGTGGGGTGTCGGCGCGGGTATTTTGAACCAAGCCAAGACGAGCAGTGGTAACAAGGATATCTGGGGCTGGGCATGCAAAGATAACGAGCGACGCACCCTGTTTGAGGATGACGTCGACTACGCCCTGGTCTGCAGGCTTCAGGTGAGTCTTATCAACAGCACAAAGCACGAGCACGGCTAACAACAACAGGACTGGTCCCTCGTCTGCTGCATCATCGAAGTCGTCGTCGAGACCCTCACCATCATCATCTACGGCATCGTCTTCTACCGCTTCTACAGCAAGCGTCAACTCCGCAAATCCATGGCGATCCGCGACCGTGCGCGCTCCGATCTCTACCTCGCCCAGCTACGCTCTCAATCCGCGCCGAACACGCCCGGTTTCGGACCACCACCCCTCACCCCCGGCGATGGATGGAAGCCTCCACCAGGCCACCCCCGCTACGTCGACCCGTACGCAGGCGCCGCCGCGGCCGAAGCTGGCGAGATGGGCATGAGCGTTGGTGGCCCCGCAGTGCAAGAGTCCACTGTCCAGTACCCCAAGGGCTACGCCCAGCCTAAGCCCTTCACGTTGCAGGCGCCGCCTATCCGCGTGCAGCAGGCAACGCCGAAGACGGCCCAGGTTGGCTTCGATGGTGCACCTGCTTCGCCGGACACGCCGAGGCAATCGGTCTCTCCGCCGTTGGCTGAGCAGCACCAATACCAGCCGCACTCGGATGTCAGCCCTCCGGAGAGCAGGACGCCGAGCCCGCCGCTCCAGTCACCAAGCTTTGCGCCGCAACAACAGCAGCAGGCGGAGCGCATTAACGAGCACGTGGGTGCCGCACCGGGCGAGCAAGTGTACGAGTCGGTACCGATTCCGGGCGCCTACACGAGTCCGTCTAGCCCGAGTGGCCAGCATCAGCACCAGCAGATGGGCGGCTTTGACTTTGGTACGGGACGGTGATTGAAGAATGAGGAGGGGTAATGTACATGTGGCCGACGCTTTTTCTGTTCTCTCCTTTCTTTTACATTCTTGATTGGCTTCACAGCTTCTTCTTTACTTTTTCTTTGCGTTTAGGATGGATATCACTGGATTGATACCTTGGGATTTGCTTTGGATATGCTTGGAAGATAGTATCGATCTATTCGTCGATATATGCACGTGGGAGTTGTGGGATGGGATAGGATGGTGATGGGCTTTGATTGAATGAAGGGATGGGCTGTATGTTGTTGATGAGATTGACGAGATTGTGTCATTGGGGCGAGGGGGGGGGGGGGGGGGGTGTAAGAGGCAGGAGGAATGGGATGGGATGGGGGATGGTGGTGGAGGAGAGGACACCAGACCGACTTGCCCTTCTTGTCTGTCACTGAGAAAGAAATTTAAGAATGGAACACACTTTCACGACGACTTCGAACATCTCCACTCAGACGTACCAAAAAATAACTGACAAAGTTGTTCCAAAAAAAAAACCAACCTAAAACGCCCATCTCTACCGCGTTGTTCGTTTTCGGGGTGTTCGTTAAGGTACAAGGAGAAGCAAAAGCATCAATCAAGCAAGCAAGCATGGAATGAGAAAACAAGAACAACAAGAACAAGAATAAGAAAAGGCAGGCTTGGCCATCCATCCATCCGTTCATCCATCTCAACCAACTCCCTAGGCAAGGCAAGGCAAGGCAAGGCAAGGCAAGGCAAGGCGTGAAAAGGGTGCTGTTTCTTCTGCTTGTTGCTTCTTGTTTCTTGTTCTTTTTGTAGATTGTTCTTCGTCTTCTTCTTGTGAATGGAGCGCTCTCTTGTTGTTGTTGTGTTGCGGGTGGCTCTCTAGGCAATCAACCGAACGATCGACTAACCAACCAATCAATCGATCAAAGGCAACTCGACTCGGTCCTCATCCCCAGTCTCAAACCTCCTCTCCTCTCCTCCCTTTCTGCCTCATCCACTCACATACACACTCACTCACTCACTCGCCCACTCACTCGCCCACTCACTCGCCCACTCACTCGCTCAGTTCAGCGTGTATCCAAGCAAAACAAGAAAACGGAAGCCAAGGCAAACAACGCCTCACTTCCACCCTCTCCACTGCACTCCACTGCACTCCACTGCACTGCACCAACGGAACGCACATGCCTACTCTACTTGTCGTCGCAGTAGCCGGGCGTCTTGACGTCGCCGCCGGCAATCCAGCTCGAGATGGTCAGTATGGTTGTGTAGGCCATGACGATGAAGCCGAAGACGCAGAGGCCGATGTCGGCGACGCGGGCGAGGGTTGTGCGCGAGACGGCTTTGAGGTGGAGCATTGGCTGGGCGGGGTTGTTAGCCGGGGGAGGGACCGGAGGGACAGAGGAAAACTTACAGGATAAATGTACACGAGCGGAATGCACGCAAAGCTGCCCACGAGCGCGACAAACTTGTCCAGCTCGCCGGCGCCGGCCCACGCGATGAGGGCGCAGCAGATGACCATGCAGAAGCGGAAGATGTTCTTCTTCCACTTGACGTACGGGTTGAACTTGCCCGTGCGGCTGAACAGCTGCTGCGACGAGATTTCAATGGCCGGGAAGATCTGCAGCGGCGTCGACAGCAGAATCGCCAGCGAGTAGATGAACTGCACACCGTTGACAAACTTGTTGTCCTGCGGCATGTTGAGGATGACGACCGTCTTGGTCTTGGACCCGTACGCCGCGTACCCCAGAGCGCCCGACGTCACGAAAATCACCGTCACCACGATCATGACCATGGCCAGCACCCGCGGGAACCGCGACGGCTCCTTCATGCTGCTCTGGATCGGGATGATCAGCCCGATGCCCTCGAACGTGAAGATGGCCGTGCCGATGAACAGCGTCCAGTCCTTGCTGTTGAACTGCACTATGTCGGCCACGCCGTGCTGGCCCGCCAGCGTGATGATGTCAAAGTAGTACAGGTAGACGAGGCCGAGCACGATGAAGGCGTCGGCCACGAGTGCCAGCTTCTGGATGTGGTTGATGTTGCGGTAGAGCGAGAGGGGCAGGAAGATGACCATTTGCATCAGAATCATCCATTTGATGTCGATGAACGTCTTGCACTTGGACACGGCCAGCACAAACGCCTGCAGGTTCTCCGACACAAACACAATGTACGCCGACGAGAAGCCTATCTGACTGATGACCAGCGACGCGTTGATCAGGTTGCGCATCCACTTGCCGTAAAGTTGGTAGCCCATGTCGCCGAACGAGGCGTGCACGTGCAACCGCGTCGTCGTCAGCAGCACGAAGCAGTAGTAGCTCAGCGCCGACACGAACAGCAGCAGCACGTTGCTGAACAGCATGCCGCCGTTGAGGAACGCGCGCGGCAGGAACAGCACGCCCGTGCCGACAAACGACTTGAGCAGCAGCATGGCCGCGCCCGACGGGCTTCCCTTGCCCTCGGTCCTCTCTTTCCGGTGCTTCCTCTTCTTCTTCGGCGTCAGCAGGGCGCTGTGCTCGCCCGGCTGCCGGCCCTCGTCATCGCTCGACTCGGCCGCGCTCTCCCCTTCATACTCGGACGAGAAGTACTCGTCGGGGCCCAGCGCCTCGTCGTCCTCCTCGAGCTCTTCACCGGCAAAGTGTCCGTACAAACTCAGGAATTCGAGGAAGTTGTTCGTGAAGACCTTGGGCTGCCTCGCCGCCGCCGCAGGGCCGCCGCGACCGCCGGTCGAAGGGCCGGGTGACGGACTGGCCGCGGTCCGCCTGATGTAGTTTCTGCGGAAGCCTCCGGGCTGCTTGATCGAGCCGATGTCCGAGGCGGGATCGTTGGGGTCGGGGCGAGGAGCGGCGAAGCTGCGACTTCTCCTATACGACCCCTTGGCCGCCGCCTCCTGCTGCTCCGTCCACCGGTAGATTTGGCGCGTAATGTCTCCGCCCTGCAGCTGCAGGCTGGAGAACTCCTCTTCCTCGTCGCGCGCCGTGGTGCTCTGCCACACGCCGTTGTTCGAGCTCCGCTTCGGCGAGCCGTAGGTGCCCCCGGCCAGGTTCGACGACGAGTTGTTCCCGCCGGGGCCGACCAGATGCCGCCGCACCACCTCGTGGTCTTCCAGGCGCCCGCCAGGGCTGCCGGCCATGGCGGCGCTGCCGGGCTGTCCGGAGCCAAAGGAGCCATAGTTGGTCCGGGGCGCCCCAAGGCCCTGCGAGACCTGGCTGACGGGCGACAAGGGCCGTTGCGGGGGCGTACCAAAGTTGGGCGGGCTGCCAGAGAAGGAACCCCGTAGGGCGTCGGCGAGAGCTGATTGCCCGGGGCCTGGCAGTGATGACTTGGCCGAGTCGCCCAGCCCGGCCAGCGGCGTGCGCGTCTCGGAGGAGGGTTGGTCGCCCGTCTGCAGCTCACGCGGCGTGGGCACCTGGCGCGACACGGGCGAGGCCAATCGGGCTATCGAGTCGTGTCGGGAGAAGGAGCCTGAGATGGGTGAGCGAGAGCGCCCCCGGGTCACCTCGGCGAAGGATCTATCGTCGCGGGTGGTTGAGTCTGGCATGGTTGGTGAATGTAAGGGCTGCTCTGCTGCGGCCTGTCGACGGGGGAAGTCAGAGAGGCACGTAGCTGGCTGCTGATGGGTTTTTGGGGAAAAGAATAAGAAGGAGGAGGCTGGCAAGTAACAAGCGCGCGAAAGAAAGCGACACGAGGTCTAGAGCAAGGCCCTCCTACGTCAGGGTCCGGGGTTGGGCGAGCGAGACAAGCAAAACGCACGCGGTGAGGCTGATCTGCGACGAGCCTCATGATTGGCGCGGCCAATACGTCAACCTTTGACATCCTTCTTCTTTTCCGCTGTCATGTTTCCTCTTCCAGCTGCCGGATGACCTTCCTCGACAATCCATCCTTCCAACCATGTCTGATCCCCCGCGCCAAGCGCCCGCCCGTTCCCGCTCCAACTTCGCCACCAAGTCCGCCTTTGACGGCGCTTCGGAGCTCAACCGCAGATGGTCGCTCCATCAAGCGACGCCATCGCCCAAGGACGAAGCTGACCACCCGCTCCTGGGGGATCATGGCCGTCGCACCGCCGGGTTCTTCTCAAACTTCGTCTCCCTCGGCTCCAAGCAGGGATCCTCCAAGGATGCCCCGTCGCAGTCGCCGAGCGGCATGCGCAGAAGACGCCATGCACGCAAGAGCAGCAAATCAAGCCACTCCAAGGCTGCTTTAGATGCAAAGCCGCAGGAAGGCTCAAAGCTGGGCACTTTTGCCGGCGTCTTTGTCCCAACTACCCTAAACGTCCTGAGCATTCTCATGTTCCTCCGCTTTGGCTTCATCCTAGGCCAGGGTGGAATTGTCGGCATGATGGGTACGTATCATGCAATGTGATTTCCTTGCTGTAATTTCCATACCTTTATTTTCCTTGCTCGTGCTTGACTTGTAGGCTACCGCACATGTTGAATGAGACAATTCTCCGAAAAGCCATCCGTCGCTTCAAATAAACCATCTGTCATCCACGAGTAACCACAAACGGAGTGGGCAACCTTCTGGTGCAACAGTCAGCGTCGGACAATCAAACATGTGCTTCTGCGGGCCTGTGACCCTCCTCCAAGAAAAATCAGAGTCGCGACTTGTCTGTCTCAATGTGTTCGGTAGCCTACCCTAGCAGTATTTCTCGTCCTAGTCAATTGATACTTTGAGTTTTGTATCTGCGCATCTCACTTTTGCCCCGAAACGGTCATACTGACATGGCTTTACCCAGGCATGCTCATCGCTTGCTATGCAATCAACCTCTTGACGACCATGTCCATTTCGGCCATTGCCACTAATGGCACGGTTCGCGGTGGTGGTGCTTATTATCTCATCTCTCGGAGCTTGGGTCCCGAGTTTGGCGGTTCCATTGGTATCGTCTTCTATCTTGGCTTTGTATTCAATACCGGCATGAACGCCGTGGGTTTAATCGACTGCTTCATTGAGAACTTTGGCTCCGACTCCGGCAACTGGTACCACTGGATGCCCCAGGGGTTCTGGTGGGAGTACCTTTGGGCTACTGTCATCCTCCTCGCGTGCACAATGATTTGCTTGGCTGGAAGCGGCATTTTCTCCCGGTGCAGCAACGGTCTCCTTGTCGTGCTGCTTGTGGCTACCTTTAGCATACCTTTCTCGGCACTGCTCCAGCGCCCCTTTGCCAGTCCAAAGCTGGGGATAGAGTTTACCGGTGTGAGCTGGGAGACCTTCAAGGGGAACTTGATGCCCAGGTTTACAAAGGGCGCTGCCGGAAGCGACTTGAAAGGGCGAGAGACCTGGCAAGATCTTTTTGGAATTTTGTTTCCGGCAACCGGTGGCATATTTGCGTTAGTATTTTCCGCTGTTTGACCTGCGATATTGTCTACCGCTGACTTCAGGTTCAAACTAGCGGCGCTTCCATGTCTGGAGATTTGAAGCATCCAAGCAAGGCCATCCCGAAAGGTACACTGTACGGACTAGGGCTTACCTTTATTTCCTACACCGTTGTGGCACTGGCAATGGCTGCGAGCATAACTAGAGGATCATTCCACCGCAACACTAATGTCATCCAGCTGGTAAGCAGCCTTCCTTCATTAAGAACACTGCATTTTCCACTTACGCACCCCTAGGTGAACTTATCCGAGGTCGTCGTCTTGATGGGAGAGTTTGCGACCTCCTTCTTTTCAACTTTGATGGGAGTCATCGGCTCTGCAAAACTCTTGCAAGCACTTGCCCGGGACAAGGTGGTTCCTGGTCTGTCCATCTTTGGCCAGGGCACCAAGGGCGCCGACGAACCAATCTACGCCATCTTTGTGACCTATGCCGTGGCGCAGCTGGTGATGTTATCGAACATCAACCAAATCGCCTCCTTCGTTACAATGACCTATCTCATGACGTTTCTAATCACAAACCTCGCCTGCTTCTTACTCAAGGTCAGCTCAGCTCCGAACTTTCGCCCATCATTTCACTACTTCAACTGGTTCACTGCAGCTGTCGGTGCGGTTGTCAGCGGGGCGACCATGTTCTTTGTGGATGAGCTTTACGCATCGGCTTGTGTCGCTCTTCTCATCCTCATCTTCCTCATAATCCACTACACGACCCCTCCCAAGCTATGGGGAGACGTCAGCCAGAGTTTGATCTACCATCAAGTCCGGAAATACCTCCTACGCCTCCGTGGAGAGCATGTCAAATTCTGGCGGCCGCAAATCCTACTCTTCATCAACGACCCGCGCCGCCAGTTCAAGCTCATCCAGTTCTGTAACTCATTGAAAAAAGGCGCCTTGTTCATCATAGGCCATGTCATTGTCACTCAGGATTTTGCTGGGGCAGTGCCCGAGGCCAAACGCCAGCAAACTGCCTGGACCAAGTATATCGACTTTTCCAAGATCAAGGCCTTTATAAACATTGCTATCTCCCCCGGTATTGAGTGGGGTACCCGGAACGTGGTACTTAGTGCAGGGCTGGGTGGTATGCGACCAAATATCGTCGTAATGGGTTTCTACAACTTGAATGAGCTGCGAACTAGCTATCCGCTAATAGACGTCCCTTCGCCCCAACCGTCTCGTCCAGCTACGTCGAGTGGAACGCCCGAAGAACAAGGACCAAAGGACAAAGGTAAAAGCAAAAAGAAGCCGACTCAGGAAGACAAACTCAAGGGCCAGCTGCCGACGGATGCCATACGAAAGGAGAGCGCGGTAAACCCGCAAAGCTACGTGACCATTTTGGAAGACCTTTTGCTCCGCTTGCAAGTCAATGTCGCCATCGCCAAAGGCTTCCAGGATCTTGAATTTCCGGCTCCGAAACCAACTGCGCTGGAAAAGGGCCTCGCCGCGTTGCGCTTCTGGGAGACCGAGGAGAAAGAAAACACGAAGAGGTACATTGATCTCTGGCCGATCCAGATGTCTGCTGAGATAGCCGCGGGCACCGACGACCACAGCTCTCGTAGAAACGTTACCACAACCAACTTCGACACGTACACACTCATCCTTCAGCTCGGGTGCATCCTTAACACGGTCCCGTCTTGGAAACGCGCCTACCGGCTCCGCGTCGCCGTTTTCGTAGAGTACGAATCCGACGTTGAAGAAGAGCGCGGGCGCGTGACGGCTCTGCTCAGCAACCTCCGCATCCAAGCCGAAGTGCTCGTCTTCTGGCTTGCGTCGGGCGACCTCAAGACGTACGAGATCATCATCAACGCCAACACGGATGAGTGCAACAAGGAAGCCCTCAAGGACGTAAACGAAGCGCTCGAAGATGAGGAGTGGTGGGACGACGTGCAGAAGCTCCGGGGCCGGCAAGATAGCGTCAGCGCGGTGCAGCAGCTCGCCGAAATTGAAGGCTTGTTAGACAACGCGTCCAACTGGCCTAGCACGGCGTTCCAGCACGGGCGGGGACAGCAGCTGTCCGAGAGCCGCGAGAAGCGTTTCGCTGACTTGCGCAAGATGTTGCGCACCTCACGGCGCAAGACGTCGATGACGAGTTTGAGGCAGCTGGGTGTGAATCTGGGTATGCGGACGCACCGGCTGCCAGCTGACCTGGCGAGCGGGTACGGCAGCAGCTACAGTGATAGCGATGACGATGACGAAGAGGCCATCGAGACGGACGAGGACTCGGCTGGGTCGGTTGTCTCGGAGGGTGATGCAGATGAGTACGCCTCTAGCGACGACGAAGCGGCTCGCGCGCCTGCCAGGCGCGCACGCAGCTTGAGTGCGAGCGAGGCCGCGCCGCCGGCTGCTGGCGCTGCTGCCGCAGCGAAGAAGTCCGTCCTCAGGCGCATCACGAACGTGCTGAATCCCATCACTGCGGCGTCCAGCGCCCATGGGTCAAAATCAACTGACGCGCTTCCATCCACGGCAATCCCGCCAGTGGAATCAAGCCCACACCTCTCGCCTTCGTCTTCACCTGTCTCAGCACCAGCGGCTGGAGCTGGCACCGGTGCAAGGAAAAGCAGCGTGTCCCCTTCGCCCCTGCGGCACCAGCTGGACCAACAGAAACAGCAACCGAAGAACCAAGACCAACAGCACCAGCCGCACCAGCTCCCCACCCGGCCGCCCGTCATGCGCCACCAGTCGCTCCCGAAATTCACATCCAAGCCCGTGCCGCGCACGCGCGTCGCCGCCGACGACGGCCCAGGCCCGAGCATCATGTTCGCCGACGCCGAGCACCCGGGCGGGAGTCCGCAGCGGGAGACGCCTTCGGGCCAACAGCAGGGCCAGGGCCAACAAGCCGAGCCCAAAGAGTCGATCTATACGCGCTCCGGTGGTGGTGCTGGCGCTGGCGGGCAAGCGACGGGCTTCCCCGCCGCGCAGGCCGTGCCGCTCTCGTTCAACGATTTGCCCTGCCGCGCCCAGCATCTTATCCTGAACGAGCTGATGCGCGGCGTCAGTCGCGGGACGATCAGGGACGATGGCAGCGGGTCGCGTGCTACGTCGGCGGCTTCGACGCCTGCGGAAACGCGCGCTGGTAGCCCTGCTCGGGGTGGCAGAGCCGCCGCCGAAGCCGAAACCGGAGCTGGAGCTGGAGTAAGTGGTAGGGGTGAGAACGAGAGTGGACGAGAGGCAGGAGCAGAGGCAGAGGGAGCAGAAGGTGCCAGCGGCGACGGCGACACAGCAGTCATACTGACGACGCTGCCCAGTCCCGTCGAAGGCACCTGCGCCGACGAGGCCGACAGCGTGCGCTACCTCGCCGACCTAGAGGTGCTGTGCCAGGACCTGCCGCCCGTGCTGCTGGTGCACAGCAACAGCCTGACTGTGACGACAAATCTATGAGCGAGGGACGGAGAGTTTACTGTCATAGATGAGGCCGGCGAGAAAGGGAATGGGAGGTGGAGGTTTTGTATTGGTAATTAAGCATAGCATAGGTATCTGGGAGACACGGGTAGTGTCTCGCTCGTCGTGTATTGCGGAGTGGGTTTCAATTAGTTAATTAAATGCCCTTTTCGGGCTGTGGTTCACGTCTTCTTGCCCTAGTCAGCCAACCTCGCCATGCCCTTTGTCTCTGTTAAGCCTGTCCAGGTCGTTTAGATATCGTTTCAGCTTCGTTAACTTGGTTTGTTTCCAGGGGTTGTCAGTCGTGTTTGGATGTAGGACTCTGATAATTTGACCGTTCCATGTGATGATATAGCGAAGTGTATATAATTAAATCTGTACTCATATATATTTTTGATTTTCATACCTTTATAAGTAAATTTATACCATTCGATCTATTTTATTTTTATATCCTGATAATATAATAATGTAGTTATAGATATTTGTGCCTTCGTTATATATAGTATCCTGTCACCTTTACGTGGTTACCTAGCATCTACTAACCGTAGCGGATTAGTTTCTTATTAACTGTATAAGAAGTACTTTGTGGGTACAGTGAATTTCATTTGATATGCAGTTGAAGCTATGACACTACGCCCGATAGTCGCTAGGTAAACGTATGTACTTTATATTCACCGACATATATGTTCAACAGTCAAGACTTGAATGCCTATTTGATTGCCCAATCTTTTCAATAATCCAACCATTTCGAACCTGAAACCATTGAAGACAAACACATCATTTCACTGGCCCACGCCTCCAAGAAACACAACTAACACGGCACAATATCTAGCACGGCATCAGTTACCCAGCATCCCGAACCAAAACCCGTAGTGCAGAACACTTACGCTGAAGTCGCTGCCAGGACCTCGGACCTTTTTGCGTTTGAGAAGATAGAGGTGCAAACGGAGAAGATGAGAGTGGAAAGGAAGATTATCCCAATGCAAGCGCCGTAGGCTTTGTTTCCGCCAATGTAGATTACCATAACGTAGCAGATGGAGATCGGGAGGACGAGGAGTATTGAAACCAGTAGCGCGATGATTGCAGTAGCGGTTCTTTGTATCCGACTACGATTGTAGTATATCATGTCAATGGATTTGGCTCGGTCAACCTGTAGAGATGTATGTATCAGGCATTGTTACGCATGGTAATACGGATATGGATCACATACGGTTGTTTGAAATATATCCTATGTGTTGGTACCAGTGATTAGAGGGAATCTATATTAGTTTAAGGAGGGTGCTTACCGTCAAAAATCTACGGTCAAGCGCCGTGACAGATCTCTCAATCATTCTTTCCATCCAATCGGGTTCTTTGGCTGGCCTCAAGGCGACTAGGTCTTCAGATGAATTGACCCATAAACTTTCTCTTCGAACTATTGGCGCCTCGTTACGATTGAAATTGACAACGCTCCGATGGTCTTGTTTTGTCGGTCGTTTAAAGCACTGCATTTTGCTGCGATCAGCAAACTTGCTGTATCAGGTTGTTAAGATAAAACCAATCATTGTTTGTTCAGTTTTTTGAGCAAACTTACAATATTCTCGAAAGCTCACCTCTAGCTGCTCAAACAGCTCCTTCCGCTCCTCTGAAATATTCTCCATATCAGCTGTTCGAAGTACCTCGGGGTTTCATGTCCCTCGAAAGAGTCCAGGAAGTTGAGATGTCGTTCCAGCTTCATCAGCTTGGCTTGTTTCTCCAAGAGCAGTCGCGTTTGGATGTATCCAAATCTTCGGAACATCATGAATTGTTCATCGCTGTTAATAAAAGCAGCAAGTCGTGGGTAGCCACTTTGGCGCTGGTTTACTTTGTGAAATCAGAAAAGCGTCCCATTGAGTATTGACTTCGACCAATCTTACGCTCAATCACTTCAACATTGTTATATGTGAACCCAGTGGCGGACGCCATGATAGCTACCCTTCAAGTAAACGAGGTTGGTTTGTAGGCTGTTGGCTCTACAGTGTAGATGCGAATGTTGATTCAGCGAAGAAGGCTGAGAGTCAGCATTTTATATAGGTATCTGCGCCAGCCTTGTACAACAGGCTGCATCCAACCAAATTAGGGCATCTGGCCTAACCAATCCGACCACGACGATAAATCGACGTGCGTCTCCTCCACTTTCCCAAGTCCTATCGTACAGCCATACCTGCTGAGAAGTTAATTGCTCAGAAGGACAGCACGCTTTATCACGGAACCATCACAACACCATCGACCAGACAAGCAACAGCACAGGCATCAAACCTCCTCTTACATATAGCTCAGCCAAAAGGCTCCCTCATTACATTCCATTCAAACGCCCCGGAAAGTCTAGTAGTAGAGCTTACAACCGTATACTACCCTAATCCCCCCCCACCTATCGCTTACCTATCCACTCATCCATCTCCATGCGACGCTTAAAACGCTGCCGCCTACCTAGAACGCCTGGCATCTTCAACAACATGTAACTGACTGGCCGATTGACTGCGACTGGCAGCATCGCTCGCGAACGCTTCAAGAAAACTCAATAATGCATGACTAAAGACAAGAGATGGATCTTGGTAGTTAGCTAGTAGCTAGACACAGGGATGAAATTCAGCTCAGTGACCATTGCCACCGTTTTGCTGCCCCTGTTGGCCCTGGCCCTGGCCCTGGCCCTGGCTCCCGTTTTGCTGCTGCTGTCCCTGGTTCTGACCATGGGCCGATGAGGCCCTTGGACTCCCATGCTGGCCTTGGTGGCTCTGCTGCGAATGCGACGGCTGCATCGGCGTTGCGCTCCTGCTGCTGTCCAACTGTGCGCTGCCCATGTTCGGACTGCCTTGCTGGCCCGGCTGTGTCCGCTGCTGCATCATGTGCTGTCGCATCTGCTGTTGGTACGACTGGCCCGAGGGGCTCGCGCTGCCTGCGTTTGAGCTAGCCAGGCCCGTGTGCTGCTGGTAAGGCGACGAGGCCGCACCCAGCTGGTGGTTTCCGTGCTGGTTGTGCGCGGCGTTCGCGGCTGCTTGTCCTGCCGCCGTCGCTCCAGCTGCCGCATTTAGTGCGTTTTGTCGTGCCGATGCCATCTTCTGCGCCATACGTTCAGACGCGAGGCGAGATGCGTCTTGCTGCGATAAATGAGGATTCGAAAGCTGGATTTCGTGAGTCAGGTTCGTAATGTGTGGGACATGGCCCGAAGAGAGGGCTTGAGGCTGCGGAGTGCCTTGGGAGGATGGGTTGCTCGTCATACGCGGTGAGGCCGCCGAGCCTTGCATGCCGTTCATTGGACTGGTAGCATGGGCACCATTGACCTTAGGGCCGCTTTGACCCACGCCGGTGTTGAGCATGGCAGGCGATTGTATGTTATTGCCTCCCATTTGCATACCTGACATGCCATTTGCACGGTTCATTTGTTGTTGGTGCTGAAGAGCGTACGCTTGCGCTTGCTGTTGGCTCAAGTTCCGCTGTTGCATTGCCATACGCATGTCCTGTGGTTGTGATCGCTGGCCTTGCATATTCATTTGCATCTGTTGCGGCATGCCCATGACAGGTAATCCGTTGGTGATGTTACCTTGAATGCCGACCGGTCCAGGATGAGGGCGACCCTGCATGCTCATCCCGGGATGAATCTGGCCGTTTTGCCCACCATTGATGTTGGCCCCAGGAGCGCTGGTAGGAGTGCCCATGCGCTGCTGAGCACCGCCTGGCATACCTTGTTGGCCGGGTATCCCACCACGCTGTTGCTGCTGCTGCATAACATTCTATAAAACGGATTAGCGTTGGTGGGGTAAGTGTACATGGATTATACGTACGCGTTGTGCTGCAAGAACCTGTTGCCGGTACAACTCCTGCTTCTCGTGCAACTTTTGCTCTCGATCGTGCTTTAGGCGACTGAACTCCTGAGGGGTATGCACACTGTTCCTGACAGGGGCAGGTTCATGAGCCTTACGCAGCGCGGCAGCCTTCGCGGCTTCTTGCTGCTTGTGCTGCGCCGTCTCTCGTTTCCGAGCCTGCTTTCTCATAGCATCAATGAGAGCAAGGAACCTGTTGTTCCTGCGTCGCTCGACGCGGATGGGCTGAGCAGTCCGACGCCTCGGCGTATTGAGGTTGGGACCAGAAGCCTGTGACTGTTGTGCCTGCTGCTGGGCGGCCTGGTACTGCGCAGATACCGTACGTTGCGCAGCCTCCAACCTTGCCTGGTATGTTCGGAAGTAAGGCGTTTTGGCCATCTCGCCAGGAAGACCTTCCAACTGCACCCAACGCTCAAAACACTCCCATGGAGTTCGTCGCTCCGCCCCAGATGTGAACAAGGATGACTGATCCATTGATGCCGCCACCAACGACCAGTTGAACTGGTACTCTTTGACAAGCGCACGTAGTCTCTGGTCTTCATCCCACAACCACTGCGAAGGTGCTCTGGATTCGAAGAAACTCGTTGACGGCATAGGGAATTCTGATGGAGGCCGGAAAGAGTGACTAGCGTGCAAGCGATCCCGGACATGCTTGTTTTCGGGCAAGAACAAAGCAACGTTCGTCTGTTCGGGAGGCAGTCCGACCCTCGAGACGCGGAGACCTGGTGTCGAAGCATTCGAACGCTCCGAAATTGGCCGCTTGTTGGGATAAATGTAAGAATCATCCTCTTCCTCATACTCGTACCGGCTGCGTTTCTTTGGTGGCTCTGTTGATTTTGGCACCAATTTCGCTGTAACAAGCTGTGATACAGGGACGATATCGGTTTCATTAGAAACAGGAGCCAAGACAGACGGCGAGGGGAAACCCTTTAACGTAGACTCGTATGACGGGAGTTCGTTCAGGACCCTTTCGGTAATTGGGGTGTCGTCGACCTTGGCAACGACTTCATCGTAACCAAGGGAAAATAGAGCGGCCGGAGGGTAAGACTGAGAGAAGTTCAAAGGAAGCTCGTCGTCTTCAGTGAAGGACTCGCTTTCCGTTTCGTTCGAGGTCGAATGGATAAGTTCTGGCGGTGACGGGATATCTTCTTCCATCGCACCCTTGACTACGTTATTCCGCAACTTTTGCTTGCGCGTAGCCTTAATTTGCAGCGATTTGCGCTTCTCGGGAGAGGACAAGACCCATTCAGCGCACCACTCAGCCAGGTTGCGAGCTGCCGCGCTTTTCCATCTGCGTTCCTCTCGAAAGTCTGTCCGCATCCATTTCATTTGAGCCATTAGACTGTCATGGAATGTTGGCTGTCTCGGTGGTTCAGCGCACTTCTCCATCTGTCGAAGGGACCACCGATTGGCATGCTGCAAGGTGTAGACGCGTTTGAGGATTTTGTAGTCTTGCTGTTCCCTAAGACTGGCATATTTGTTCGTTGTGGTGTAGGTCTTGGTGGCTTTGTCGAGAAGTTCTCTGGAGGATAGGAATGGACCTTGGTGCGCCTGGAAGTCAAACATGCCAATGAGGTAATCCTTGTCTGGGTCCTCGTGCGCTCCCCTGAGTGCAGCATAAGCCCGGTTAACTTGTCCCACGGTCGAGCTCAGGGCTGGTTCCTGTTTTGCGAAGACGACACCGGTGGCCTTGGACCTCTCCTTGTCCTTAGATTCTGCATCGCGTGGCCGACAAAGTACCGACTGGATCGCGGGGATCGCGGCAGTTGAACGTCTTGGAAGCGTATTGGAGCGAGCGTCATCCCCAGGTATACTTGGTTGAGGAGCCTCAGGCTTCTTCGCAGGCCCGACCTTTGACACAGCTGATTGTTCTGCATCCGCGGCGTCAGCCTCTTGCATCTCAACATCAGCCGGAGCTACATGTTCCGTTGCAGCTGCATTCGGCCGTGGTGCGGTCGTGCCATTGGTTGCCTCAACGGAGGTTTCTTTTGCTGGCGCATCTGAATCCTCCGCAACATGGCCATCCGTAAATGTTGATACAGCAGATGCCTCGGGGGTTTTTTCGTGAGCACCCGCCAAACCAACAACACCGTCTTCAGCAACCCTGTTCTCTTCAACCACCCTAGATGCTTCGGCAGTCAAATCAGAATCCTTCACTCTAGGCAAACCCTCCGCGCTCTTTATTGAATCACGCGCATGGCGGACAGCCTGTTCCTCCTCGAAACGTAGCTGAGCATCAGGCGTAGCAGCAGCGCTGTCGTGCTCGTGGTCTTCCTGACGAGTGGAACTCGAACCAGATTTCTCGCCTCCAACAGTTTGCTGATCCGCGCTCAAGAAGCTAGAACCACGGCGCGATGTCGCCTCGTCCGGACTCGTTGCGGGGGAGTGTTGTTCTGCCCGGGACGTGTTCGTGGAATGCGGACCAAAACTCGACGGCGAGGATGCGATCTCGCCATTGATTGTTTCCCCAGTGGCGGCCAAATGCTCGTCCTCTTTCTTTTCACGAAGAGCTCTACGCTCTTGAGCATGCTCGATTTCGCGAAGACGTCTTTCCTGGACCTCCTTGGGGGGCAGGTGTATGGTTCTAGCCTTATGGCCCGGCCTCGTAGTGGGCCTTTCCTGTGGTTCGGATTCGGGGAGAGCGGCGACGTCGTCGGGCAGCTTGGGCGCAGCATCTTTCGGAGCGATCGAAGGTTCGTCTTGGAGAGCCTGAGGAGCAGCGGGAGTTTGCGCCGAGGCCTGGGAGGGAACGTCTGGCTCGGGCGCGCTGACCACAGGCACGACAGGGCTTTGAGGCGGTTGCTCCTGTTCCTGTGCAGCTACATCAGGCTCTGGCTTCTCCTGCTCGGGGGCTTGCGGCGCGTCTTCCGTAGGCGTAGTTTGCTTAGGCGAAGCATGGTCGGGCGCGGGTGGTGTTGCAGTCGGTGCAGGTGCTGCTGCGGCGGGTGAATCTTGCGTATTTGACGCGGCGGCATTGTTGACGGGGGACTGGGCGTCTGCGACAGGAACGGGGGGCGGTACATGGGCGGGCTTTGCGGGCGGGGGTGGAGGGGGGAGGGTTGAGTCGCGGAAGTAGCGACCTCTGCAAACGCGCGTTTCGCGTCAGCGCGACGTGACATTGGGGGATAGGAAGAGTGGGAAGAGAAGGAGGAGGATAAGACGTACTTGGCCAAGTCGTTTTCTTCGAGGAATTGCAGCTCGTGGGCGTCGGGCGGGGCGTCGAGGGTGTTGGGGTTGGGGTCTGCTGCTAGGCTGATGGTGACGGCGTAGAGCTCGCGAAGCTTCCTCTTCCGCGATATCTCAGCGTTGCTACGGGCCGCAAGTCAGCACGACCGCAACAGCTCCACAACCACGCGCCAATAAACCAATCGGAGCGATTAGTTTTTTTCGCATCCAAGCCCTGGGCCGGGGCGCGCGAAGAGCGACCGTAAAAAGGCGGCGGAAGGCGGTGTAACGCGACTTACTGTAACTCATGGCGTTTCGCTGCTTCCGCGCTCGACCGAACGCTGTCTAGGGACATATGAAGGGCTTTCCCGACTGAGCGACATCCGTCATTCGCGGTGAGAGCCAGGGCGGAGGTATTGGGCGTTGCCGAGCAAGGTTTATTTGATGAGGCGATAGGCAGTCGGGGCAGGTGAGTACGATGCGATAGTTGCGCGCTCCTCGATCCCTGGCTGGGCGGGCGGGCGAGCCAGAGCGAGAGCGAGCGAGAGCGAGGGGAGCCCGCCATCCCGTCACTCGTCACCGCCCGCCCGCGCTAGGTCGGCAGAAAAAGTTCCCAAATGATTTCACTTTCACTTTCACTTCTACTTTCTCTTCTACACCTTACATACACTACACTATACTATACCATGGCCAAACGGAAGAGAGACACGCCTGCCGACGGCCCTGCCGCAAAGGCAAAGAAGCAATCTCCTACCACCGCCTCTACCTCCACCCTCCAAATCATCACCGGCTCCTACGAACGCGTCCTCCACGGCATCACCGCCTCCCTCGACCCCGGCGCCATTGCCGCCCCCGCCGAGGACGGCAGCGCCGTCAAATGGGCCGACACCTTCCTCTTCAACGCCCACGCCTCCGCCATCCGCTGTCTCGCCCTCTCCCCGCCCTCCGACTCGACCGACCCGCACTCGCAAAAGGTCATTCTGGCCAGCGGTAGCACCGACGAGCGCATCAACCTCTACCACCTGTCGACCGCGCCCCCGCCCATCAATGCCGGTCCCTCGATCCCCACGCTTACCGGCACCACCATCACCCAGAACCCCCGCAACAAGGAGCTCGGCGCGCTGATGCACCACTCGTCCAATGTCTCCGCCCTGCACTTCCCCAGCCGCGCGAAACTCTTCTCCGGCGCCGACGACAACACCGTTGCCATTTCGCGTACGCGCGACTGGACGGTCCTGTCTACCATCAAGGCTCCGATTCCCAAGGCCATGGGTAGGCCGAGCGGAGACACTGCTGCGCCGGGCGAGGTCCCTGCTGGTATCAACGACTTTGCGGTACACCCTAGCCAGAAGCTCATGATTAGCGTGAGCAAGGGCGAAAAGTGCATGCGGTTATGGAACGTCATGACGGGAAAGAAGGCCAGCGTGCTCAACTTTGAGCGGGACCTGCTGGCCGCGGTAGGAGAGGGCAAGTTCTCTAGCGGAGAGGGCCGCAGGCTGGAATGGAACCCTGAGGGTGACGAGTGGGTCGTCACGTTTGAGCGGGGCTTCGTCGTGTACGGCATGGTAAGCTATTCGCCCATATATACCAAAGTGTGGTAGCGCCTAACAACCACAGGACTCCAAGCCGAAAGCCCAAACCCTGCCCCGGCCCCTCACGAAAATCCACCAAGTCCACTACGTGCCCTCCCTTGGCGAAGGCAACGACGTCCTCGCCGTCTCCACCGAAGACGGCCGCATCCTCTTCTACTCCACCCAAGAAACCGTCCCCGCCGCCAAAGGCGACATCCCGAACTGCAAACTGCTGGCGCAGCTCGGCGGCGCTGCCGGCGGCGTCCTCGGCCGCATCAAGGACTTCGAGATTCTGCCCATCCCCAGCGAGAGTGACAGCGAGCTCGCCACCGCCTTCTGGATCATTACTGGCAGCAGTGACGGCTCCGTGCGTCTGTGGAAGCTGTCCACGGCAGAGCTCTCCGCCGACGATGACGCAAAGCCCGCTTCCAAGAAAAAGCAGAAGGAGAAGGAGGACGGCAATGCTGCTGCCGTCCCCGCCACCGCACAGGCAGCGAAGCAGGTCGGCGCCCTGATCGGCTGGTACCAAACAAACAACCGTATCACATGTCTCAAAGCGTTCATCATGACCGGCACGCCGGAGGATATGAGCATGGCGGAGGCGGAAGAGGAGGACAGTGCGGGTAGCAGCAGCGATGACGATGATAGCGATAGCGAGTAAAATATTTTGGATATCCGATGCTGGTTGGCGTCTAATCAGCCAGTCAATGTCTTGTTACGAGCATTATAGCGCCTTTTACTTGGATGTGAATATGACTTGGGCGCAATTTTCATCTTATTCTCCAATACCAACTTGTCAGAGTAGTATTTTGTTTTATTGCTGCGCCAGCCCAATGCACAGAAAAGGCTCATTGACGAAGTCCGCCGAATAAAGCGAAAAAAGCATTTTAAACCTACTGGAATCCAAAATGTACCGGCGTCATTTTCCTCTACCCTTTTTTTTTTTTT